AAGAGAAACATTGATCGACCGCCTCCTGCACGCCCCCTACTGGGGATCAAGCCCACAACCCGGGCATGTGCCCTGACTGGGAATCGAACCGGGACCCCTCAGTCCATGGGACGACACTCGGTCCCCTGAACCACACAGTCCGGACAAGACAATTTAAAATTTTAAACCATTCAATTTCACCAGGAATTAGGACCAAGAGAAAATATTTAAAAATCTAGAGAGAGCCTCGAATTAAATTACACTTTTAATATAACCAAATATGCCACCTCAATAAAACATTTATCTAGGGTCGTAGGAAGAATCCAGCTTAACCAATGCTACAGGAATTAAAGCCCTACAGCGGAAGGAACGCCTGTCCTGTTTACTGCTGTCTCTCAAGCACCACCCAGTGCCGGTGCGCAGTCGGTGTCCGACGGAAACACACCCAGTGAGTGAACAAATGGGGGCCCTACAGTGCCGCAAACCAAAAGCTCCAGTTGCGAGATGAAGCCTGGAGGAAGGAATGATAAATTGGGCCGTGACCAGGTGTCGGATGAGAGCCCCTGGAAGTTGCTGAAGGGAAGTGCGGCGGACACCCCCAGGTGTAGGAGTTGGACAGCAGCTGGGAGGGGGCCCAGCGCCCAGGGCCCTGCGCCTGCGCCCAGGGACCACAGCCCGGCTCGCCGTATATTCGGCCTCCGCCTTCACGAGTTTCCGCCCCGACAAAATCTTCTAGTTTCTAACGGACTCTATTTGTATGTCTGATGATTTCACAGCCTGTCACCCCAGTCTAGCCCTCGGGGTACCCTCGACATGCGCCCTCTGGGTTGACCTTCCCATATATTAGGCACAGCAAGCATTCTTTTGACAGGAGCCTCTCTGGTGAGAATTGGGCTTTGCTGCTCCCTCCAGAAACTGTCTTTGTCACAACTCCACGTCAAGGCCACTCCCTGCCCGCCCCCCACTGCCCGCGTCTCCTGGGAGCTGGCCCAGCGTGAGGGCATCACCAGGCCAGGTCCTCATCACCCCGTGGCCTGCAGTGGTCCCTCGGAGGCCTTCGGTCTCTTGGGTGACGTGTGTTTGAGGCTGGAGCCCCAGCCTGCCTCCAGGCTGATCTCACACCTGCAGGGAGGTGGGGACTCAGGCTTGTGGGACCCGACCGCTCCCCACCCCCCGCCTCCTGCGAGGATGCAGGGGACAGAGAACAGGGGCCTGGTGCCTCTGCAGGGCTCGTTTTCACGTCAGCGTGTGCCCGTCCCGGCTGTCCTCTCTGGGACAACACTGCCAGCTGACCTCTGTGGCGGGCACGATGCCGCTCGGACCCGGCCGACCCGGGCTGACGTGTCTGTGGGAGCACGTCGTGAGTGTCCGAACAAGAGGGCGAGATCTTTGAACGGAGAAGAAGGGGGTGGGGAAGGAGGAATTCACTCTTCTTTGGTCGTTTGCAGAAGATCATTTTTTAAAGTGCAACTTGATGGTGGTTCCCAGTGGTCCGGTGGCAGGAGTGTCGACTAGAGCAGTGGGGCTCAGGTGTCAGCGGGTCCTCGGAGCAAGCCAGGCGTGACACCCGCCCCAGGTCCTCATGGGGTGCACACGGCGAGTGAACTGCTGTGAGCCACCAGGTCGAGCTGTCCCCACTGCCCCTTGTAAGAGACTGTACATGTGGGGTGTCCATGGCCACCCAGTGGGGACAGAGCAGAGGGACCGGAGGGCTCAGGCTAAGCCTAAGGACAGGGCAGCGCCCTTCCCAACCTCAGGAGCAGGGATGGAGAGGAGGAGACTGGAGAACGACCCTGCGCTTGTCCTTTCCCGTTTGTAAGAAGGGGGAGGGCAGGCATGTGTGGGAGACTCCCGAGCGCTTTGCAAACCCTTCGCGTTGGCTTCAGAGAGTCACTGTGTGGACAGTTTGCCACAGACACATGAGTCCCCGGGACAAAAAGTCAGAGTTTCCAGTTCCAATGAGACAGTAGGTAGAAGGAAAGGTTGTTAAGGTTTTAATTCAAAGAGGATGGGAAAGGGGAGGGGAATTGGTGTCCCATCAGAGGCTCTGGGTCTCAGAAGGGACCCTCTTCACATCCCCAGTCAGTGGGGGTGGGGGCGGGGCCGGATGCCCAAGCGCGGGCAATCAGTCACCTCATGCGTCCCAGTCGGAAAACCTTCACCCCTGAGATGCAGATCATTTGATCGTGCTGACTCGGTGGGGACCAAACCTTGTGAACCCCTGGGAGCCAGGAATTCCCAGCAAGATGTGAGAAAGCGTCTCACAGCGTGAACCTCAGATCGCAGGGACCCAGGCTGCGACAGAGAAGCCAGGGAATCCCCATTCTCCTAAAGTTCCTGCATAACAAAGACAGATCCGCCCTTCCCAGCTCAAGGAACATGAGGGACCCTAAAAAGCAACTCCCACTTCCCGCCCCTCCACACACCTCCTTTGTCTGCACCACTAGGTCAGGAGGGTAATGAAAATGCACCCCAAAATTATAAAGACGACCAGTCGGAATATTCTGTCTGCCCATGAAGAAAACCCCACTGACCAAAAGCTCACGGTGCTCGGCTGGCTCCGAGGTGCTTAGGATCCCATCACCTCCCGGAGACAGAAGCAGGGCTGCAGGCGGCCCTTGGGAGAGAGGTGCTGCAGGGTCCGAGGACCCGAAGGGTCAGGGTCAGGGTGTGCGCACTGGGGACCACACAGGCCTGGGATTTCAGTTTTTCAACCTCTCTTAGGCTCTTTCTTCCACCTTTTCCCTTCTGTTGCTTTTCCTGGCCACCTATCTCTCTGTCTCTTTCTCACCCGTTGTCTTTTACGGAACACCCGCGTCCTTCAGGGGGACTGCACACGGAAGCATTTGCTCAGTCACTCGGCAGCATTCACTCATTCCCCAGGGCGGCAGGTGCGGGAGAGGTGGTTCTGACGAGGGACGTCACTTCCCCTCCACCGCGCGCCCGGAGGAAGGGCTGCAGGGCACCGGGGGACCCCATGAAAGACACTTGCATTTTTTTTTTGTCATCTAGGTCTTCACAATGGCCTCAAGGGAAGCGCGGAGGCCTCGCTGGTTTTGCGCCGAGGGCAGCAGCACCTCCTCTGAAGAGTAAACAGGCATCCAGGACTCCGGGACTCCCGGGAAGCAAGCGAGTCTGGGAACATCAGTTCTGCTCAGTGTTTATTTTCACGAGAAGAGGGGGGATCATGTATAAGCCACGGGCCACGAGAGTCCCCCGGCCTGGCAGCCGTCCACACCCGTGCGTGAACCTCGGCACAGGCTCAGGTGTCACAGGGAGCCGGGCCAACGGGCGGTCAGTTAGCCGCCGGCACTGGCGAGTCCGGGAGATACAAAGTCTTGTATAAATCAGTTGCCGTTACAAAGAGGCAACTGCTTCAGCTGAGAAGATACAAAACGGGGGCGACTCCCAAACACAGAACAAGGGGCGAGAGGAGGACAGAACAGATTGCCTTTCCTGCATTGTACTTGGACCCGCACACGAAGACACCTGTGGCACCGGACACGCCAGCGGGACCACGGCCCCACGTGCGCCCGCCGGCCCCTCCCCTCCCGTGTGGCTTTCCGAAACGTGGCCCGTTCTAGGCTTACAGGGACGGGATGCTGCGAGGCGCAGAGGGAGCCTTATTGACAGTTGTGAACCACTAGGCGTCAGACAGACACCTGCCCGACAGCTGCCGAGGGACGGACTGACACTGTTTTCCCCGCCGGGCGCCGCAGACGGGCCGCGCCGCGTGAGCAGGCAGGGAGCCGTCTAACAGATGGCGTGGGGGGGGGGCCGCGCCGCCTTCAGAAAACACGCGACAGTTAATGAACCTGCGGAGAAGGCGATGCCTGATCCCCGTTTATTTGTCACAGAGGATGAGCAGGACGGGACAGAGGGACGCGGGAGCCGCGGACGCTCAGCGGGACCGTGGAGGCTCGCTGGCCGCTGGTGTGGAAATGCTCGAGGGGGCCGCGGACGGAAGTGACTACGGAGCTTTTGCTCCGTCCGGCTGGAAAGAAAGCTCAGAGAAGCGTCTGATGTCTCAAAGGTGACCGTTTCGTTAAAATCCGCCTACAGGAGGAAGCCACGGAGGCCCCGTTAATGACAGGCCTTCCAGAGAACAAGCAGGTGTCGCGAGGCCTGTGACCGGGCGGGGCTGTGACGTCTGCACCTCCTCCCTGACGTCGTGAACATGCTCTTACTGCCCAGGTGAAGGGGGCGGCTTCCTGTCACCGGGCCACTTCGTACTGCAAGTGGTCAAAAATCTACAAAATGTGCCAGAGTATTTCAACCATAAACCTCAATATCCACAGATTCCTCCTGATTTAGAAAAGGTCGCAGGTGCCGACCTTCAGTGGGACTGTACATTTTTCTCCACGTGATTTTATCACTGAAATGGAATGGAACGAAAATGTGTTCCAAGGACTGAATCTGGGCCCTGAAATCATGTCTTTGCGGCAAGCCAGCATATTTTTGGGGCACATCGGACCCCTGAGGATAGAGGTTTATAGTAGAAATATGGACGGACTTTCGTGACCAGACGGGACACACAGGCTCCGCTCGGCTGCGTCACACGTGACGAGTGAACACGCAGCTGATTCCGTCCGGGCCGAATCCACGCCGGCGCAAACCTCCGCCAGTATAAGCTAGACTTCATTGGGTGGTTTTAAAAAATGTTTTCTATTCTTTTTAAAATTATTTTTTTCTCTTTTAATCAGACACACGATTTTTAGAAAAAGATACCTATGTTATGTTGCAGCTTGACTTTGTGCAGGCTGATCTTTCCATTAAAAAACGGATCGAGGACCCGACGAGTCAGTGATCAGACCCGCGAGCATTGGGCCTAATGTCCTCAAACTGTCCTCGAAAGCTAGAAACTGTCTTTGCTCTTAAAAGGGGGACGGGGGAGGGGCGGGGCCTTCAGATGTAATGAAAGGAACATCATGCATCTGGCCCTTAAACCCTTCGAAGGTAACTGTGCTATGGCAGGGTATTTCTTTCTGATAAGGTATTAATAGAAGGTTTTGGTGCTCATTGGCCCCCGAAATCTCTAAGGCCAGTATACAAAAAACGAAAAAACCCTAAAAAATAACAGGAGATAAAATAAAACTCCCGAGAGATGTTGAAAATGGTACACACATTCTGGGGAGCCCAGCCACACCCCACTGCGCCCTAAACCCAGGGAAAAGGAGCCGAGGTCTGCGCCCCCCGAGCCCTCGCCGGGGACTGCGGTCGCTGGGAGCCTGAATTCCGCCCGTCTCCTCGGAGCACGGGACAGGGGCTGAGAAGAGCAGCAGAGTAGTGTGAACAGAGAATCATTCTCTCTCAGTAGTGTGTGCTTGACGTGAATGCGACGATAATTCAACCAAAGTGCGGAACAGTCACTGTGACCGAGAGATGGGAGCCTGAGACAGCCGGAGGGGAACAGACACTGGAGCCATTAGATACATCCGAACACCACAACCACATTAAAAGGAGACACCGTCACGACAGGTTCGGGCCTTTCGGGAACCTGTGTGCTTGGGCCAGACTTCACATTCTCGCAGCTTCGTGGTCTTTTTCTTCTAACAAACTTATCAGCTGGGAGAAGCTGTCTTTCAGCGCGTCGACGTTGTCCAGCGAGCAGGGCTGCAGAATCCAGCGTTTTCCTCGGGCCAGGGGCTCAAGTTCAAAGTATTTTTTGACCTTCAGGGGGACAGAGAAGATAAATGTTATTAATTATAGCAGAACCTTTCTCGTACCCAAATTGTGAGAGTGATGAAGTAGGGGTATTCCAGGAGAACGTATCTGAACTGTGATGCCCAGAACTTTCTAGAACCCCATCCGCAGCTGTGGTTAGAATGCGGTTCTATGTTGTGTGACCCAGGAGCGTTTCTCGGGATGGACGGCCTGCTACCATCCCGCCCACACGCTTCACAGCAAGGGCTCTGCCAAGGCTACGGAAGAGTGGCGGGCACAGGGCGGAAGGCCCCGCAGAGCCCAGAACGTCTCGGCCCGGCCACACGCGGCTGGGGCGCCGCCCCCTCGCCACCGCGCGAACTCCCGGAGCTGGTGACAACGTCTCAGGACAAGTATTTTGATCAAACACACACAGAACAAACAATATAACTTAAATAATCTTTTCTTTCCCTCCTTAAATATTTACTACGCATTTCTGAGACCTTGGGAGGGTGTTCAGGAAAGAGGGTGGAACCGAGTGTGTCCATATATATAGATGAGCTTGTGTAAACATACGTGCACGCAGACACACACACAGACACACATACACAGACACACACACAGACACACAGACACACATACACACAGGACACACAGACACAGACACACAGACACACAGACACAGACACGCAGACACGCAGACACGCAGACACACAGACACACATACACACACACATGAAGTTTCCCAGCTTTCCCCTCCTAGTCCTGGGTTTTCAGGCAGGGGAACACCAAGACCTTAGAACTGGCACGTGGCGCGGAGCGCTTGTTGTTCCGAATACCCGTTCGATTGTTAGCTGGTCACGAGCCTTGCTTAGGGTACTGGCACCCCTGATGCCCAGCTCCTGGCTTCGAATAAATTTCAAATTTTTAAATTATTATTATTATTATTTTTTCTTAATCCTCACCCGAGGACATTTTTCCATTTTTTGTTCAGATAGAGTGGGAGGGGGAGAGAGAGAGAGACATCGACGTGAAAGGGACACATCGAGTGGCTGCCACCCGCACGACCCAACCAGGGCCGGGGACAAGCTGCAACCGAAGTACGTGCCCTTAGCGGGAACCGAACCCGGGTCTCTCTGGACCACAGGCTGACACTCCAATCGCTGAGCCAAACCGGCCAGGGCTAAATTTCAAATTGTTATGACTTCCAAAGTGCTGATGATCTTCTCTCCAAGGGTATGTTAAAGCACAAATTCCTGAACCTACACACACACACACTTATAGTCCAGTGAGGTTTTCAGAACACAGAACACAGCCGGTACCGCCACCAGAAGAGACATTGTTCAAAAACATTCCTGGTCAACAAATGTCATTCAAGCCCAGGTGTCATGGAAAATGCCAAGGGCTTACCTCAGTCCATTCTTGAGCTGGGACAATGGAGTGTCCCAACTGTACCGCCTGTCAGCACGACACCACAGTGTGAACATTTGGATGTGAGCGAGGAGACATGATACTACGTTTTCATGTCAAGTTGGGAACCATGACTGTGCTAGCGTGTGCTAGTTCAAGCGTGTCCCAAGAGCCCTCCGACGGATGTCTGCAAGTTCATAATAAATACGACTACCCCTGAACCGAAGCGGAGACGAAGCCTTGAGAATCGAAGGACCCTCAGTAACTCTGATTCTGAAGTGTACCGAGAATCTTGTCGACAGTCAGAAAATGGGTACGGGACTCAGCACTTCGGAAGAATGTTTGCCAAAGGTTTTTCACAGATCACGTTAAGAGGATTCTCCCTCATGGGACATGTAAACTGCATCCTCTTATTTCTTTCCTTTAGGGCACTGGAAACAACTCACTTCCAAGAGAATCTGATCTTGCATGTAGCCACCGGCACGAGGGACCCCACCGGACCCCACAGAGGACCTGCCAGTCGGCAGACCAGCCAGTGGGCGGCCAGCAGGGGGTCAGCAGAGTCGGCAGGAGGGACAGGTGGGCAGATGTTCAAGTCCACAGCTACCGGAGCAGAGATGTCTGCTTCTCCCACAAAGTGAGGCTTGAAAGTGCACCAGCAGACAGAGAAGTGGGGAGCCCACGCTTAGGACGCTGACCGGTACTTGATCAGGAACACCTCTTCAAGAGGGAGCAGCAGGTGACACCCCAAACCTGGAACGGGAAGGAAGCTGTACCCCTGCCACGTTTTTAACCGCAAACCGAAAGGGTGGCTTTGTGAACACTGCTGGCAACAAGGAATTCCCGCTCACCGACACAAGGAAAAGGACCGTCAGTGCCTGTTAGGAGCACCCGACGGGTCATCGAAACACACGCAGACTCGACCCTCCTCGCGTATTCACAGCTAATTTGAAAACACTGTTAGATTTCAAATAATCACAAAACATGTGCTATTTTGCAATACAGGCCACACACACACACACACACACACACACACACACGCCAGTAAGTTTTTAGCTCCCCATTAGGTTGGTTTCTAGGCAACCAAACAGTCTACCACGAGGGCCACTTGGAAGACAATACGGACAGGTAGTGACGTCTCAGAAGTTGCTCCTGCTGCATATGCGACACGAGAAGGGGGTTGGAAGGGGTGATCCGGGGTGGTCGCGGATAAAGGGCCCAGCGTGTGAAGCTGACAAGCAGGCTGGGAGCCGGAGACTCTCCCCTGGAGCCCACGTGGTATCTCCCCGCCATGGGCCCCTCCTGCTACCCGCGGGGTTCCTCCCGACGCCCTGTTTCCACGTCCATTTTCAAACCAGCCTGGCAATCGGCGGTAGGCAGGCACCCCTCGAGCACAGCTGTCACCACGCAGAGCTTCACGTTCTAAGGACAACGGGCGGGGGAGATGCAGGTGCAGCGCCAGGCACGAACCTGCCTGTGGGGACAGCCTCGGACTGCGATTCCTCACGGAACCGAGCTCCGCTCCCACCCTGGTCCCGGCGAAACCACCGGCCACACTGCACTTGTCCTCACCCTCTCTTCCTGTCCTCGAGGCTGAGCAATCATCTACAGAGAGGAGTTTAACTCACATAAATCATATGCGTAACGTTAAAAATCTGCGTGATGCGAGGATCTTTTGTTTTGTTTTGTTTTGTTTTATGGTGGACACACTTTTCTAAAGGTGATTTTCTTACTGAGATAAAAATGTTTTTAATGACTCGAGAGAAAATGCACCGACATCTTCCGCACAGCGTGTCCGCGGCTGGGCTGCCACGGTTGACGGGAAACTGTTGGGACACAGGCTGCCCTGCCCATGGCTGCCGGGGGCGCCCTCGGGGGACGGCATCGGGGCTCGGCGGCCTGGCCCCTGTGGCCACTCGCTGTTTCCGGGATAGCCACAGAGAGTGGGCGTTGTGAGTGGCCTGGTGTCCGCCCGAGACAGGAAACAAGCCACCGCAGCTCGGTCCCGGAGCCCCTGCACCCACGCAGCGGACTGCGGGGTGACGCACGTCAACGCGTGTGATGTTCACGCCACGTGGCAGCAACGTCCTCGTGGAACAGGGGGCGACTCCGCAGCAGCTGTTACACCTGCGAGACGCCCCCAGCACGGGAGACCTGGTTGCGGGCAGAGGCCCTCCGTGTCTCCGTGGCAGAGCGACCCCACAGTGAGCCTCTCCTCTCTCAGGGCCTCTGGGCACCGTCACCAGGGCCCGGCGTCCCCACATGCCCTCACTCACGTTCAGAACGTTATTCCGGATCTGCTGCGACGAGACGAGGCTCCTGACGTCGCGGGGACGGCAGGTCTCCCCGCTGCCGACCGCACGCCTCGCTGTGCTCAGAGCATCGGCTGCGTGTTCTCCCTGGTTCGTTATTCGACCGTGCAGTGTGCCCAGAGCTGGCTGTTTTCTCTCGACGGCCGGAGCAGGAGGCAGAGCGGTCCAGGGGGGCTCGTGAGGGCTCTCCGGGGACGCGCGCGCGGTTCTCCTCGGGTGTCTCTCAGCCGTGCTTGGGCCACACGGTGTGTGAGGGTTAGCGAGGAGCAGGAAGGTTCCGCAGGGCCGGGACCCCGCGCAGGGGACTCTGCCACGCGGGCCCGGCTGTGACTAAGGCGCACCCCGGCGTGTCCCGGCATCCGCGGGGCCGCTTGCCGCTGTCTCTGCACTTGTCGGGGGGCTCGGCTGCTCTCCCACTGCTCCCCACGGACACGAGGCTGGGCGCTTGCTGTCTGCTCCCCTGGCCCAGCACACATGCCCTCTGCGAAAGATGGCAGGTGCCAGGACCCTTCTTAAGCGTGGGGTGGCTGAGGGCTCAGGGTCACACAAGAGCTCTGGGAACCTGAACCCCAGAGTCGGCTTCACACAGTGTCAGTCATTCAACCAGCACTTCCTGAGGACACGGGCGAGCTCAGAGGCCGTGTAGGTGGGCTTTTTGTTATTTTTTTAAAACTTTTTTCTTTATTGAATTTTTTTTAGAGAGAGAGGAAGGGAGAGGGAGAGAGAGATAGAAACATGGATGAGAGAGAACCTCGACTGGCTGCCTCCTGCATGCCCCCCACTGGGGATCAGGACCACAACCTGGGCATGTGCCCTGCCTGGGAATCGAACCAGGACCTCTTGGTGCAGGGTCAATGCTCAGCCACTGAGCCACACCAGCCGGGCTATAGGTATGCTTGAGGACAGGTGAGCGTGGAGGGGCCATGGGTGAGCTTGAGGACAGGTGAGCGTGGGGGGGCCATGGATGAGCTTGAGGACAGGTGAGCATGGAGGGGCCATGGATGAGCTTGAGGACAGGTGAGCGTGGGGGGGCCATGGGTGTGCTTGAGGACAGGTGAGCGTGGAGGGGCCATGGGTGAGCATGAGGACAGGTGAGCGTGGGGGGGCCATGGGTGTGCTTGAGGACAGGTGAGCGTGGAGGGGCCATGGATGAGCTTGAGGACAGGTGAGCGTGGGGGGGCCATGGATGAGCTTGAGGACAGGTGAGCGTGGGGGGGCCATGGATGAGCTTGAGGACAGGTGAGCGTGGGGGGGCCATGGATGAGCTTGAGGACAGGTGAGCGTGGGGGGGCCATGGATGAGCTT